ATTATATATATATATATATATATATATATATATATATATATATATATATATATATATATATATATATAATATATATATATATATAATAATATAATTATATATATATGTATGTATGTATGTATGTATGTATATATATATATATATATATATATATAATATATATATATATATATATATATATATATATATATATATATATATATATATATATATATATTTATATCTATATATATGTGTGTGTATATATACAGGCAACGACACTCCGTCGTTGCCTGTCGTCTCTCCCTCTCTCTCTCTTTCTCTCTTTGGCGATACGTCCTTTTATAAAGCGATTCCCTGTGAGGGCGTTTGCTTACTCACGCCGAGACTCCCATTAATGTATCATCCAGCTTTGATTTCATTTTACAACAACAGAGAGCCCATCTATATAAAAGATAAGCGTGTGGATAGAATTCCTCCTTGGTCCATACCTCATGTTACCCTAAATGATTTCGACAAAACAGTTTCCTATTTCACACACATCTGCTGTGAACGGTACCACATACGTAGTAAATTTATGATATATGTGTAGGAAACCTCCATCTGACAGGACAGATAATAATTCGTTCTTGGCAGACTTTGTCAAGTTCTTTGTTCCATGAAACAGGTATATACAGGTGCATTATCACTGCTATAATATTTATGATCGGGTTGTTTCTCTGTACATGTCAACTTGGCGTCCGCGTACAATTTTTTTTTAATTCCTTCTCTTTCTCCTTCTCTTCCTTGCTCCTCTCAGTTAACACTGTATTTGCGTCCTCAATTTTTATTTTCGTTGTCTTTCTTTTCGTGTCCCGTTTCCTCACTCCATCTCCAATCCTTCGAAGATTTGATTATCTCTTCCTCCTCCTCCTCCTCCTCTCTTCTTTCTTATCGTCCTTCTTTCACATCACGTCCTCGGAACCTCGGCTTGGAAATTCTTCAACATTAATGGTCTCGACAACTGAATTCTTGTAGCCCGGAGGCGTTGCAGCTTATTTCCAATCCGTTCTTTCTCCTCTCTTGTTTAGTTTTCATTTTTTTCTTCACTTTTCGGAATGGAGTAAAATCAGAAACTTAATTTCTAACAGTGTAAGTACTTTTCTCGTTCTCTAACTTTTTTCCGCCTCTTCTCTCCTTCCCCAATTTCTCTTCTAGTTATTTGTCACGTTCCCTTCTTCCTTGTTATTTTCCTCTTTTTCCCCCCTCATGTTAATTGCCATGGGAATAAACAACGCATGTCTACCAACTGTTAAGAAAGAAGGACGAGGAGAGGGAAAGGGAGAAGGAGAGGGAGAAGGAAAGGGAGAGAAAGAGGGAGAGGTAGAGGTAAAGGTAAAGGAACAGGAAAATGGAACGGGAGAGGGAGAGGGAGAGGAAGAGGAAGAGGGAGGGGGAAAGAAAAAGGGAGAGGGCGAAGGAGAGGGGAGTGCGAGTCTATATTCCATAGGCGCCAGGAACGATTTCACGCCAAGCCAACAACACGCGCTTCGACCCTAGTTTAAGGATAAAGATAATGATAATAATGATATTGATATTAGTAACAATAATGATTTGTTTTTAAATGATAATGATGATAGTAATAATCATACAATTGATAATTAAGATAATGATGGTAAGAATGATTATAATGATAATGGCAATGATAATGATAATAGTAATGATAATGATAATAGTAATCATAATAGTAATGATAATAGTAATAATAACGATATAGAATATTCTGGATTTGATGTTTGTAACTAGGTCATTACTAAGATATTGATAATGATACTGGCAATTATAAGAGTAATAATCAAGATAATGATAATAGTATCAAATATGATAGCATGAGAAAGGATGTTAAGAATAAGAATGATGATAATGATGATGTGTAATTATACGTAATTAAATTGTTATGATATTCATGTCACTGATAATGATCACAATAATGGTTATATCATAGATATTGTTGATCATTAACAACAGCAGTAGGAGTAGTACCTGCAACAGTAGTAGTGGTTGAGTTGGCGGTAAAAAGAAGAAAAAAATGTTTTCCGAAATTGCTAGAAAAAAAAGCTTATAACTGTACGAGCAATCAGAAGATAGTAATCGGGATCATAGACGCCTCCTAATGATACTCGTTAGGCACGGGGTCAAAGGCGGTACAACCCTAACAGCTGCACCTTCCTAGTACAGTCCCATCAAGACTCAAGAGGCGGAATAGGAAAGGTGAAAATATGGGTCTTTACAGAAGAGAAAGAAAGAAGAGGGAAGTTGTATATCAAATCAGGTTTGGGATATTGTCTTGATTATAAACTCGGTTACACGGATGATCAGTTATGCCTTTTCTTTGTTTACCCCGCCTCATGTGCCCTTAAGTACGGCGTGCCCGCTGCGACGGCTCAAACGGCGCCTCTGACCGATTATGAAGGTTCACTTCGACGACCTCCTTTGGTTCCCTCCTCCCCTCCCCCTCCTCCTCCTCCTCCTCCTCCTCTGTATTCCTCAGACTCACCACACCTCGCATGACCTTTACACAGACTGAAGAATTAATTTCGTAATACTAATACGAGGCTGCTAAATATAGCCTAGCTCTCGGTGGCTTTCTGCATGGGCGGGCGAGGGAGAGGGGAAAGAGGAGGGAGGGGAAGGTGGGCGATTGGAGGAGCTTAGGTAACCCCTGAGCTGTAATTATTTGAGGATAAGGCTGGGCCAGTGAGGCATTGCTCTCGAGACGTGTCTGGATATACGCTGGGTGCTCCTTGATTATCTCTTGTGTTCGTTTAGTCTGGAATATTCACTATCTCTCTATCTATATCTCCTCTTTCCCATATACATTGGTATCTCTATGTGCATGGTTCAGTATTTGTCTTCGTTTCTCTATCCTCTCCAGGGAAGGACAAACCTATACGCGCTGGTTGAAAGTATGCGCCACAGAAAAGATAATGTGATACATAATACTAAACAACAAAAGCAAAATTGCATTTTCAGGGAAGATTTTGAGCAAAAATTCTCTCTAGGTATCCATTTCGGTTACTTATCCGGCTGGTGAGGAACTCTTGACGGGTTTGGAATTATTCTTTTTATTGGCAATGTTATACATATATGTCTGTGTGTATATCCGTATTTGAATAGATAGATGCTTAGCTAGATAATGAGAAAGATATATAGATGGATGAACCTAAGCTTTAATGAAAAGATGAACCGAAAGATGAGTAGATATACGAACGGATAGATTGGGTATGACAGAATGACAGATAATAGAAAGATGGATAAAGGTATAAAATGATAGATAAAGATACATGCATAATCATGTCCGAATATAGGTCTAAATCAAGGGACAGATAAATGAATAAACAGATATATCCATTTCGATTTAGGATTTTTTAGTCTGGCTTGATATGTCATGGTAATTTTTACTTTCAATTTGTGATTATGGCAGAGGTTGATACCACAGAGGTACGTATAGTATTGTTACTTATAAATATAAAAAAGGCACAGAGCTACGTATAATATTGTTACTCACGGATATCCAAGACAAACTCAGAGTAACAACTAACACAAAATCCCCCACAACATCCACTTCCTCACGCACATTCCTTACGTCCATTCATCTTAAGGAACATTCATCAGGGGACGAGACAAGACAAGACAACACAGCGCGAGATGGCTGAGAAAGGACCCTCTGAAGCCTATGTGTTTCTGTGTATTCGGTGCCTATTAGTCAAAACACTTATTACTATCTTTAGTTCGTTAATGGTTAATGGTCATAAAGGGATAAAATGGTCTTAATGGCACTCGGCTTCGTATCTCCTTATTATTGTTACTGCATGTTTTGAATTTCTTTATTACTGTATTAATGCTGTCATTAATGTTCAACATTATTTTGATAAAGCGTTTTTGTTCTTGCAATTGTAATTTTTATCATAGACAAATCTTCCTATTGCTCTTGCTGGGACTTATTTAACAGTGCCATTAATTTAGAAAAAAAAATAGTCAATGGAAAGTCAAAGGAAGAGGAAGGAAGAACATAGACATCAAGTGGACATCAAAGGGATAAAAATGCATATTTTAAAGTAAAGATGAACTGCAGTAATAAACCACACACTTACACCCACATACACACACACACACACATACACACACACACACACACACACACACACACACACACACACACACACACACACACACACACACACACACTCACCCTCACACACACACATACCCGCCTGCACCCTCGTACCCAAATTGTTAACGCTCTGCCGCGGGCGTGGTTAAGACGAGTAATAAAACCTGGCGCGAAGGGTCCGTAGACTAATATTCCTGCGTGACCACCTGAGTGCTATGAAAGATGGATGTGTTCTCCCCCTTCGCCTTTCTTGCTGCCTCTCCTACAGCCTCCTTCTTCCTAAAGCTTCCTCCAGCATCCTTCTTCCTAAAGCTTGCCTCCAGCATCCTTCTTCCTAAAGCTTCCTCCAGCATCCTTCTTCTTAAAGCTTCTCCAGCTTCTTAAAGCTTCTCCAGCATCCTTCTTCTTAAAGCTTCCTCCAGCATCCTTCTTCTTAAAGCTTCCTCCAGCATCCTTCTTCCTAAAGCTTCCTCCAGCATCCTTCTTCTAAAGCTTCCTCCAGCATCTTCTTAAAGCTTCCTCCAGCATCCTTCCTAAAGCTTCCTCCAGCATCCTTCCTAAAGCTTCCTCCAGCATCCTTCTTCTTAAAGCTTCCTCCAGCATCCTTCTTCCTAAAGCTTCCTCCAGCATCCTTCTTCTTAAAGCTTCTTCCAGCATCCTTCTTCCTAAAAGCTTCCTCCAGCATCCTTCTTCTTAAAGCTTCCTCCAGCATCCTTCTTCTTAAAGCTTCCTCCAGCATCCTTCTTCCTAAAGCTTCCTTCAGCATCCTTCTTCCTAAAGCTTTCAGCTCCTTCTTCCTAAAGCTTCCTCCAGCTAAAGCTTCCTCCAGCAAGCATCCTTCTTCTTAAGCTTCCTCAGCATCCTTCTTCTAAAGCTTCCTCATCCAGTCCTTTCCTCTTAAAGCTTCCTCCAGCATCCTTTCTTCTAAAGCTTCCTCCAGCATCCTTCTTCTTAAAGCTTCCTCCAGCATCCTTCTTCCTAAAGCTTCCTCAGCATCCTTCTTCTTAAAGCTTCCTCCAGCATCCTTCTTCCTAAAGCTTCCTCCAGCCTCCTTCTTCCTAAAGCTTCCTCCAGCATCCTTCTTCTTAAAGCTTCCTCCAGCTTCCTAAAGCTTCCTCCAGCATCTTCTTAAAGCTTCCTCCAGCATCCTTCTTCCTAAAGCTTCCTCCAGCCTTCCTTCTTCTTAAAGCTTCCTCCAGCTTCCTAAAGCCTTCTTCTTCTAAAGCTTCCCTCCAGCATCCTTCTTCTTAAAGCTTCCTCCAGCATCCTTCTTCTTAAAGCTTCCTCCAGCATCCTTCTTCCTAAAGCTTCCTCCAGCATCCTTCTTCTTAAAGCTTCCTCCAGCATCCTTCCTAAAGCTTCCTCCAGCATCCTTCTTCTTAAAGCTTCCTCCAGCATCCTTCTTCCTAAAGCTTCTCCAGCATCCTTCTTCTTAAAGCTTCCTCCAGCATCCTTCTTCCTAAAGCTTCTTCCTTCTTCCAGCATCCTTCTTCTTAAAGCTTCCTCCAGCATCCTTCTTCCTAAAGCTTCCTCCAGCATCCTTCTTCCTAAGCTTCCTCCAGCATCCTTCTCCTAAAAGCTTCTCCAGCATCCTTCTTCCTTAAAGCTTCCTCCATCCTCCTTCTTCCTAAAGCTTCCTCCAGCCATCCTTCTTCCTAAAGCTTCCTCCAGCATCCTTCTTCTTAAAAACTTCCTCCAGCATTTTCTTCCTAAAGCTTCCTCCAGCTTCTTCCTAAAGCTCCTCCATCCTTCTTCCTAAAGCTTCCTCCAGCATCCTTCTCCCTAAAGCTCCTCCATCCCTCCTTCTTCCTAAAGCTTCCTCCAGCATCCTTCTTCCTAAAACCTTCCTCCAGCATCCTTCTTCCTAAAGCTTCCACCAGCATCCTTCTTCCTAAAGCTGGCGATTACAGGAGGCTGGGATGCCGTTAGCCCATTAAGGATATTACATGTGTCTTGCGGCATCTGATGCTCCGCGAGTCTTGGATGTGAAACATCATTTTGGAGCAGTCACGGAGATGATAAACATTTCACTCATCTCATTATTTCAGCTCATCTCATTATTTTGGCCTCTGAAATAATGCGATGTTTACACTCCCACGTAGATACTTAGCTTATTAACAAAATCGTTTATATGCATTAGCGTAGCGTTACCCCCTGACACGCAGACGCGCTCTCGTTCGACCATTCATCTTGGGAAACATTAATCAAGAAGCACACGCGGGGGCTCGGTGGCGGCGTCCTCGTCGTCGCCTCCGCCTGGCCCACGCAGACGCCGTCCTCCGACTCTCCACGGCGCTACACGCGACAAAGTGGTGTTGACAAGGGCTTCCCTTGACTCGCCCGAGGGGAGAGGTTGGCTCCCGTGCCCGCGAAAAAAAGGGGAACTTCACAAAGGCAACTTGTTTGGGGTAAATCGCATTACGATGCTGGGGCCGGCGCTGGGTCTTGTTTGGTCTCGCATACCTTTTTGCAGTCTTCTTTTATTCCAGTGTTTAATTGTTACTTTCATCTCTCTTCTCTCTCTCTCTCTCTCTCTCTCTCTCTATCTCTCTCTCTCTCCTCTCTCTCTCTCTCCTCTCTCTCTCTCTCTCTCTCTATATATATATATATATATATATATTATATATATAATATATATATATATATATATATATATATCCTTTTCTATTTCTTTGTCTTCGTCTTGCTTCGCTCTTTCGCTCGCGTCACTTGGACGCTCCGCCCTGCCCAAATTCATTATATGGATCATATAACTTTCCAGATGTCCGTACTCCGCCTTTGATAACTATAATTTAATTTCTGCATTCAAGGAGGATGCTCTTTACAAGAAAGGAAACTGTCTAAATACAACTGTAGTGTAGATATATAGAAAAAAAAATGTATTTATGTACTTATCAAACTTTGGACGCAAATACAAGCATAAAGAGAAAGCATATTAACAGCCGCTGACCCAACACAAACGCACATACTCTACAAACCTTACAAGACATACACAACCTAGCAACTACTGTTAGACGCCTACATCCACCGATGTGACGAAAAAGCTAATATAACGAAAGGAAATGTCACGGGAAACGCAGTGTCATCTGAAAAGATGTTAGAAGCTTGAAATCCTAATTGCCCGTCGCGGAACCTACTGCCATCCCTTTCATCACATGCATTCATCACGTTATCTCATTCCAGGCTAAAAAAAAAAGTATAAACACAGCAAGATGCAGACTATACTTCAGCCCAAAATTTATTGCTGGGGAGTGGGTCCTTGATGTGATTTGCAAAACGTGAGAACAATGAAATGGCAGTAGAAAGCCTGTATGGTGGCACATGTTTATCCCATAACGATGGCAGAGATGATAAGTAAGGGTTGCCAAGGTGCTTTATAATTGGAGATTAATGAAGTGACAGAAAGCCTGTGCGGCGGCATATGTAACGATAACAGATGATAAATAAGGGTTATAATGTGCTATATAGGACTGCATGATAACTTGAGCGGTGGATAGCATAGTCTTTGTATTTATCTTTAATCTCCTTTTTTTGTTTTTGTTTTTTCATCTTTTATTTCTTTATTTTTACTTTACTCAGTCTGTCTGGATTATTACTTCTGCTCTCGAGTGTCTGCAGCATCTCGCACTTTCTTAGCTCTCTAGTCTTATTTTCTTTGTTGTTTAGATTTTAAGAACGTTTTAGGGAACGAGGCGAAGGAAAACGTTGAGTCGAGAGCGTGACATATCGCCTTCCGATATGACTCCTTGGCGATGATGGCTCTACTGACTCTGCATATCGCTCTTCTCTCTCTCTCTCTTCTTTCTTTCTCTCTCTCTCTTTCTTTCTTATCTCTCCTCTCTCTCTCTCTCTCTCTCACACACACACACAAATATATATATTCAATCAGACACACATAACCTTAAACTGGGAATATCCTTGAAAGACACCACGAAGCTTAACTCATCCGAGTGTTGACGCATTTCCTCGTATCAGTACTTTATACGGCCTTCGCGGGTGGGCGTGGCGTGGGCGCGTGTGTGCGACCGAATTCATTTTGGCACTGAGGACGACAGGCGCGAAAGGCTTATACGAACGCTCCAGAATTTCCCTCGAGGACGCGGTTGTTTATCATGACGTCACGGGCCGAACATGTAGCGGCAGTGAAGGTGAAACTGTGGCTCGTCCGCGTAAGAACAAATAATGCATATTCAGGGAGTCCTTCCCGTGTAATGGAACGAAACCCATTCTGAATTTTTGCTGCTTCCTACATTTCTCCCCTTCCTTGAGGCTCTCCTTACTTATTTGCATCATACTTCCTTGGCGCTTGAGAACCGGTAGAAAATATTTTTTTTCGCAGTTGCGTGGCCTTTTCTTTTAAACAGTTTATTTTCGTGTCATTGATTTTTTTTATAGTTAATATTATAATTTCTTATTGACTGTTTTTTTCTGTTTATTAATAGTTTGTTTTCAGTTCCCTTTTTATCAATGATACCATCTATTGTTACCAGTAATTGATATAATCCTATTGATTCTCTCCATTGTCATTATCATTAATAGGAGCAACACTATCATTAATATGATCATTAAGAGTAGAAGCACGCGTGTGATGATAATCATTAACATTATGATAATCCTATTATACATTATCAAATACATTCATATTTCATTCATCATATTGTCATGATAATCATAACATATGCCATTATCGTAATCATTGTTGCACCTTATTACCGAATGTTAAAGTCGACTCAGCTGGGACTAAGTACAAGCATCAGCATTCTGGGGTCAGAGTTGGGACGGAATGGAACCGGCCACGTCATCGCACCTTCTCGAGACTTGTTTCGACATGTTCTCAACACCCACGTGGAAATACGACAAACTTGACTGTATTTTAGTTGTATTTTTCGCAGCGTTAAGTATCGATTTTGTGACACATTGTCATGTTCATTGTATTAATTATTGTGGTTTTGTAGTGTCTGTATCCGTATCTCGTGAAAAATAACTTGAGATGAAAGATCTGAATTTTATTATTATTTTATTTTTCCAGGGAAAGTCTAGCCGTCATTTACCCAAGTCGAGCAGCGGGGAAAACGTAAAAGAGATACAAAAGATTTCCAATATAATCTCCCAAACTGCCCTTCCGCGCGGGGGCCATTGCGAAAGCCGAGACAAAGGCCGCGCCGTTCAAGCTGCAACTCGAGACGCGGCCTCGCTCTCCTCCTTCGGTCTGCGGGGTCGGTGGGGGGGGGGTATGGGGGCAGGAGACCGACTCGAAGGTTCTATGGGTTTGAGAGGATTCGCAAGGGGGGGGGGTATTGAAGGGGCATGGGGGCATTGATGCAAGTCGTGGGTATTGGAAGTAGGCGGGGTAGGGCAGGTTAGCACGGCGAAGGGGGCGGACTTTTCGGAGAGCTGAGAGGGCACAGTGGGGCACGTGGACATCGAATAGGGAACGAAACATGAATACGGAGAGAAAAAGTAGGCGGTTGTAAAACCAAAGCTGCCGCCATTTTTTTTCCTTTACTTAAAAAAAAAAAATCGTCTGCCTGGCCTCGACTTCGACTGCTCATTATTCATATAAGAAGAGTGAAGCAGTACAGAATATGGAATGTATGCAAATTAACATAATCTTTTGCACTGCACACGTGGGTGATCGAAAAAAGACTAAATAGAGAGAGAGGCGTACACACGTGCACACACACACACAGACACCGAGAAAACAAACGTGAATTAGGAAATAAGAGGTTTTATTGACTTCAACCCCCCTTTTCCCCCTTTTGCAGAGACGGAATCACCTTATTAAAGCACCTTTTTCCTCCGAAAATACCTGTCGTAATGAAAAATACGCGAAACACTCCTGGCCAGCAGGCAGAGGCAAATTAGGGAGAGTAACGTTTAACTTTCAACATTTGCATTCATTAAAGTTTACTGTGGTATCACTCCTGCTCTGGCGAAAAAAGAAAACTGTTGAGAAAAAAAAACAAAAAAAAAAAACAGAGAAAGAAAAAAACAAAAAATAGAGGAAAACCATAGAGGAAAAGAAGAAAAGTAAAGAATATAGAGAAAAAAGAAAATAGAGACAAAAAAAAAATGAAGGAAGGAAAAACTGAAAACAACAAATGGAGAAGAAGAAATATAGAATAATATATAGAGAAAAAGAGAAAAAAAGAAAAAAATCAACAATAGAAAAGAGAGAAAAACGACTGCCGAGTTATTTCGCGCCGGCCAGGGAAACTGCAGGAAAATGGAGAAAAAAGACGAATTGTCTGTCATTTTGTACAGAGAAAAGTGATGTCTGTGCCAGGGAGAGAGAAAGACTGAAATGTAGATAAAGATAAGATAATATTAAGAGTGTAGTGAAAAAATGGTGTGAAATAATTGATGTGAGGATGTAAACTTGGATGGACACACATGGTATATATATATATATATATATATATATATATATATATATATATATATATATATATATATATAATATATATATAATATATATATATATATATATATATTATATATATATATATACTATATATATATATATATATATATATATA